AAAAACTCAATGAAAATATACAAATAATCAAAAGTTATCGAGAGGAGAGAGAAAAAAGATTGTAATCTATTTTGGGAGAGGGGGAGTATATAATTGTGATGTTATGTCTCACTTTAATTTTTCAATCAAACACTACAGAATTGAATGACTTGTGTTTTATTATTATATTTTTCTAACTAAACATGTTTTAATTTAAAATATTTATATTTCGTTTTTTGCCTTTTAAATTCAACTAGTTTATGTATTTTTTTGGTATAAAAAAGTAATAGTTATATTTGGACATACAAGTGTGACAAAATAATGTAGTAATTTTTTTATTAGTTTTTTATTTGCCGTTGTAAATAAAATGGTGTAAAATTAAAGACGTAAAATAAGACCAAAAAATTGAAAAAATACTATATAAAGTCCCGTAGATGTGATGGGAGACGACGAACCTGAAGATGGGAGTGGAGAAGATGATCAAACCGACGTACTTTGAATGCTGTGCATGACAAAGTCCCGTAGATGTGATGGGAGACGACGATCTCAAGTACTATGACGCTGACAGCTGGGTTCCAAGGGCTGAGAGACTTCAGGGGCGGAGGACGTGGTGGATTCTGCGTCGGGTTCGGGTAGTGAGTTGAGCTCAGTTTTCATTGGTAGTGGGTTAGGTTCGGTAACAGGAATGGGTTCCGAAATTGGATTGGATTTGCTAATTGGAATGGGTTTGGTGTAAGTGGATTGGAGAGATTCGGTTGGTGTAGGTTGGGATTAGGTAGAGATGGCACGAGAGGGTTCGTTGTCAAGGAAGTCAAATGACGACGATGAGGGTGGATCGGAGGTGCCGGTCGGAAGAGAGATGAAAGAAAAGGAGGTTTCAATAAACCTTAGGTCCCGACTGACAAATATTTTCTAGGTTTCAAGGTCCTGCAATCGCCATCCCTCTTAACCAAAAGGCTTGCCGAGAAAGAGACAACAATGCGACCGAGGGCGAATTTGTCACCACGATGATTTTGGTTCTAGGCATATGCTAAACACCCAAAGGTGCAGAGATGTGAAAATGAAGGCTCTTGACCATAGAGAAGAGCATAAGGGGTTTTACCGTTTAACAAAGGAGTAGGCGTGCGATTAATAAGATAGATGGCACTAAGGATGCAATCTCTGCAATAAGAGATACGAAGGTTTGCTTGGAAATGGAGTGCACTTGCTACGTTAAGGATATGCCTGTGCTTACATTCGACCCTCTCATTGTGTTGGGGAGTTCCAACGCAAGAGGTTTAAAAAATTATTCCTTCAGAAGTGAAATATGGTTTCATACACGTGAACTCTGTTCCATTGTCGCTGCAAACCCTTTTGACTTTTGCATTAAACTGGCGATGGACAAGAGCAAAAATTTACGGAGAAAACCAGGCATTTCAACTTTATGAGTTAGGAGATAAACCCAAGTTGCACGAGAGAAAACATCCACACTAGTCAAGAAAAACCATGCACTAGTGCGAGATGGGGTTCCATACACCCCCCACACAAGTCACAATGTATTAAAGGAATGGGAGTATTTGATTTATTGGAACTAATGGGGAAAAAATCTTGACATTGTTTAGCACGAAAACATACATCGCAAGGGAAAGAGGAAACATGAGTTGAAGAAAACGAAAGAAAATGAGAAATATTAGAGGATGGATGACCCAGATGCTTGTGCTAGACATCGAGGTCCTTCGTTTCCCACACAGACTCTTTCAAGCTCCTTTTGTTGAAGGTAAAATAGGCTGTCTGTTTGTTCACCCGTTTCAATCACCATCTTCGAGATAGAGTCCTGTATAACATAAGATTTGTTAGTGAACTAATACCTGAAAACTGATTTTCCAAGTGGACATTAGCATGTCCGTCGAATAGAGCACCTCCACTATATACTGTTCGTTCTTGGTTCATTGTTCGATTCCTGGTGCCACGACCGCTTACGATCAGTCTAGTGGAACCTCCTCCACGGTTGTTGCTTTTTTTTCCTCGAGCGGGTCCAGTGCTCTGGGTGCCTCCGCGTCCACCACCGCGGTTGCTTTGCACTCATGGTCGGCCTGCCCACCACTCAGGGTAACCGATGATCTGAAAGCATGCATCCACTTATTTCGTGTCCCGTTAAGCCCCATGCTTGCATTTAAGGGTATTGCCTAGGGTAGGTTTTCTGGACGTAACCACGAAACGTATTGGGTTTCGTTTGTCATTTTTTGTAATTTTTATCAACCCCTCCTGCTGGGTTATAAAAGAATAAACATGATTGATTGAAGCGAGGGGTTCAATGCTCAGATTATTTGAACGAAGACTTCCATAGCCTTCATTATCCAATCCCATCAAGAATTGATAGACCTTTTCTTCATCATGTTATTTCTCCAATAGTGTGGTCAAACTACACTTGCAACCCCCGCACTTGCATGCGGGAACTTTCAGCAGATCGTAGAGTTCATCCCATATTGCCTTCAATTTTCCATAGTGGTTCACGATCTCCTGACCATTCTGTTTATAATTTGCAAATTCTTTTTTCAGTTGATGAATCCGCGTCCGTTCGCCACGGAGAACCTCACCTTTATGTCATTCCACGGATCTGCCATAACTTCTACATGGGTAATAGAGTTGCGGAGATCGGTATCTCAATGGTATTGTAGATCCATGAAATGAGCATCGCGTTCACGATCCACCATTCTTCTGTATTGTCTTCGTCATCTTCTGGACATGAAATACTTCCATCAAAAAATCAAAATTTCCTTTTGAATTGGCACGAAGAGCTATTCGCATAGCTCTAGCCCATTCCTCATAGTTTCTTCCGGTCAGCTTGACCTGTGTAATCAATAATCCTAGTGTGTCCATAGGTTTCAGATCATACGGATTAGCTTTCGTGGCCTTTGTTTCTTCGGCGTTGGTGTTCCTTTGGGACGTAGCAGCCTCAATAATCTTTGGTGTTTCACCCATGGTTGGTCCGGGTAGGGTTTACCAACAGTTTTGAGATATCAATGCTCCGATACCATGTAAACTCGAGAGACCGAGAGAGAGAAGACTGAAATTCGTTTTAGTAGGAAGAGAAGAAAACAAGTCCTAGTAGGAATAGAAATCTGGGGGAATTTACTTAAATAGTAGTAAAACATAATGACTTTCCCTAAATAGCACCACATGTGTTTTTTTCCCAATCTAGCACTTTTAGTCATTAACCATTAGTCATTATTTAAATAAATTTTTGCCATCATTGGACATTATGGACATTTTTAAGTGCTATTTATGGAATAAAACAATTTAAGTGATATTTAAGGAAATGACTTAAGTTTTAGTGCTATTTAGTGCAAATATTTCATAAATCTACAAAGAAGGAAACGAAATCAAATAGGGAAACTAACACAACAAGGAAACTTCCTTCTTGCCCCACACGCATGTGCCATGCGTGACAAACCTCTTAAATCTCATGCATGTCATATGCATGGTTCATTGCACCCGTGTCAATAATTCAACCGAGTAATAGTAGGTAGGAATACCTGAAAGTTTTCAATATAGACACTCCTTTAGTAATAGCAAGTGGCGCTTTGAAAGTTTCCTACTGCTCGGATATCAAATTTAGGACCTGTGATAATCTCAAAGCACCATATATATATAGTCAGCTAGTATGACATTGATTTAGAAAAATATTTCTGTGAATTTTCTTTATTCCTATTATGCCCAAAATATGCCAATATACATAGGAACCCCTTAGTAAAAAAATCTATAGGGAGACTAAACACTATAAGAAGACCAAATCCTATACAATTACTGACATAATTCAAACAATATACACAAAATAATATAAATAATTTATTTCCTTACCATACACAAAGAAAATTTTATACTGAGTAAATAAAAAATTTAAATTCACAAAGGAAATGAAAACTTTATTTTAGAATGCCTACCTATCTAATAGAAACTTTCAAATCAAAAGAGTGTTATTAGGGTTATTAATGCTAGTGCGTATGGTAAAAATTTAAAAATAAATTTACAAAATGGTATTCAATAACTATATGTTTTCTAAAATTAGTCTTTAATATGAAATAATTATAAAAAAGATACCTGTTAATCGAGAATAATACTCAATTTAGTCCCACAACGGACGTTAATCAAGAATAATACTCAGATGTTGGGACGACACGTGTTGCAGACAGAGGATCTTGTGCCTCTATAAATAGAAAGTCATGTCCTCAGTCAGGGTGAGAAGTCCTAAATATTGCCTAATCACCTCCTTCCAATTCTTCTTCGGGGTAGACCTAGGAAGAATTTGAAGGAGGTGATTAGGCAAGATTTAGGACTTCTCACTCTGACTGAGGATATGGCTTTACATAGGAACCTTTAAAGAACTAAGATTAGAATAGCTGGAAAGGAGCCCGGTGCTTCAGAGGTTTTTTGTAGTGTATTTTGTTTGGTTGTAAATTTTTGCTATTGCTTGCAGGACTTTCATTCCATTGTACTTGATGCTTTATCTGTGTTATATTGTGATTCTTATCATATTTTTTGTGTAGTTGGAGCCGGGGGTCTCTTGGAAACAGCCTCCCTACTTCCGAGTAGGGGCAAGGTCTGCGTACACACACCCTCCCCAGACCCTACTGTAGTGAGATTCAACTGAGTTCTTGTTGTACATTTGACGATTTAATTTCCAATAGCACTACCAAACAAATTAAAAACTTGTACACTCAAAAACTATGACTCTTGTTATGAAATAAAGTAAATATTACTCTATGTAGAAGTGTAGGAGTCCTATTTTGGGAGGAAAACAAAGGCAATCCTATTGTACAACAACAAGGCATATCTTTTACTCTGTATAATCAATGCTCCAACAAGATCTGGTTGGTATACTTGGTGCAATCTAAAATTTCAGTCATCAAATTTCATGAGGTGTCTACTTACCATATTAGTCAAGTTCTATAATAACCAAGTTAATGTTAAGTTTCTAAAATTAGATTTACAAACCAAGTAATCCCAAAAGAAAAACTGGAGTGGTCCAGTAAAATACTCATCAGACCAAAAAAGTGGCCCTTGAAACTATGTACAGGTCAAACTGAAACAGAGTGAAGAGCATTTAACCAAACCCAAAGAAATAAAATTCATATAAATATGAAGAAAAAGGACTGTGCTTTTTTAGTATCAAGGAAGAAAAAAAGGTAACAAGGAAGGGATTCCCCCACTTTTGGGTAAAATCCAGTTATCAGGAACGTATGCTATATAAGTGCAGCACCGTAACAATAATAAATAAAGCAGTGTATTATTTGTACACTCAAACAGGCTGGGCTCCTGACACCATTCATTAGCGATGATGCCTTCCCTGAAAGCCTCCTTTATTCTTGGAGAAGAAGGCGTTCTTTGGTTTCGGGATCTCGTGAATGTCCATCACCTGTATTGTCCTTTGCTTTTTAGCTTCACAAAGGAAACAATACAGAGCACAGAAACAAACATCAGTCAAACCATTACGGCGAGGAATGCAGCAGTTCTACTAATACTATAGATTCCCAAGTGTTTAAGAAAAAACCAAACCATTTTGTGCTTCTTGGTAGTTCTCCTGAAGCCTCTTCCGTGCTGAATTTAGTTTCTCCATATCTACCACTGATTCCCTTGGAGGCCTCTGCAAAAACCCATATCAAGTAATCAAAACCCACTAGAGGATAATGTTATTTTTGTATCCCAGAAATAGAGTTGTGTGCAATCTTCTCATCTTGAAGTAAATATCTGGATTCTTACCATTCTCATGGCCCAGCAACCTATAACAGATTTTGTACCAATTAAGGAACTCTAATCTGTCTTGAAATGAAGAACTAGAATGAAGACTAGTACCAACTACCCTAACTAGGATTCAACCAGACAACCAATATGATTGATTTGAAAGCTGCCTATAACAATCATCTCGTGTGCATTATTATACACCTACAGTAACTAACTTGAGCGTAGCACGAGAAACCGTACCATAATCACCAACTTTTAGATTATTTTGACTATATGTCTGGGAGCAGTTAAAGATAGCACGCATCCCTAAACTTGAAAATGCATTATGAATCTTCACTCAAACCTAAGCCCCTCTCAAGCTCCATTTCAATACCCAGTTGGCATCAATTATCTTGAGTGTCAACTTAAGATTTAACAATCCAAATATCCGACCACATGTTTTGCCACCATATGCATGAGAATGAATAGAGAGATATATACAGATGGGGGAGGAGCTGAAGCTGGCTTGGGAGCAGATTGAAGTGGCCTTTGGGGTGTTTCATTCCTTGGAACTGATTTTTGTTTCTTTTCGTGTTCTGAATTATTCCGGTCTAGGCTTGAACTCCCATCTAAAAAAAGATAATACTCAGTTGGTCAAATTGAAGAAGAAAAAAACAGTACGGAGTATAACAAAAGCATTTGGTAAGCTGGAATTGGATTCTATTATCAAATCTTACTTCTTGGATTTGGAGAATATCCAAAATCAGGAACCTGCAAAAGACCATAACCACTTTAGACCATTAACGTTTGTGGATGCTTTACATTCGAAGTTCTTCATAGAAGCAATATAAATTTGATTAGAGGATTGACCTGATGATGACCACTCTGTTGATTCTTATGTAAGTGGTGCTGGGGTGAGTCTCCCTCAGCTGTGGCCATAAAATCCATTATTAACAAACTAGGAAAATCATCCACAGTTAACATAACATACTATTTAACTCAGAAACTTAAGAAATTAAAGTAGTGCTAAACTGTTTGGGGAAGCATACCAATGACATTTGAAGAAGCTTTTTCTGGTGCGTTGAGCTTAGCCCATTCATCTACAATTTCTTTCCATTTCCTGCAAAATGGAAAAAGAGGAAAGAACTTGCTATTCTGAGATACAAAAGAATCAGGAAGTCCGTGTTAAAGTCAGAAGTGTAACAGTTCAACCAGTCATCAACTGCTTCATTCCCAAAAAAACAACCAAAACACTTTCTATCTTCAATTCTTTTGGTTGGTGAAATTCAAAACCTGACTAACTGTTTCACCAATCTCTTCACTTCATTTGACGGATGCTTCCTCAACCGATTCACGTGCCTTCCAATGTCAGTTTCCTAACAAAAAATGAATCAAAAGATTGACATATAAAACAATGTAATCATAAAGACGGAAAAAGGGGGAAAAAACATTTTTTTAAACTCACCTTCAGAGCTTGAAACGTAATATCCATATCTTCAAGGTTTTGCAGCAGCTCAATCACAGATTCGTCAGACTATTTGATCCAAAATCCACACTTACTGTAACTTGAAAGCAACAAGGAAAAGAAATCCAAAGAGATTGAAAAGAAAGAAAAGCAATAAACCTGTTCTGGATCTTCAAGTTCCTCCTTGATTTGGAGAATTCTGGTCTGCTCATCGTCCAACAAACCTCCGTACGGATCCGCCTCCTCCCCCTCTTCGCCTTCTTCCCGTCCAATATCATCATGAAGACGATGATTAGACTCCGGAGTGGAAGGGCTCTTACTGATCTCCCTCTCAACGATTGGAAAACCATTGCCGGCGAAGTGACCGTTGACTTGGTCGTTGCAGTTCCGGCACCGATTCCAATAGAGCTTCTCAACGATTCCGTCGCGGCGATCCTTCAACTCGCCGGCGTAGTCCACAGATGCCACCTCAATCGCCGTCTCGATCAGCGTCCACACGTCCGTTCCCGATTTCGACAGAATCAACCGGAGTTCATCTCGGTCCATTCTTCTCCACCCAATCCTTTTTTTTTATTATCAAACACAAAAACAAAACTGTGAATAAATACGATGGGGGGAGGAACGCGAGATGACGTCACCAGATCTGAGAGCTTCAATGGAAGGTGTCACGCGATCTGCGAACGACGCCGTATGGATCGCCCTGTAAGAAAACTCGAATCTTTTTGTTCCCAGACAGGGAATTACTGTACAAAAGAAGAAGGTAAAGAAGAAGGTGAGTTGGGAGCTAGAGCGGGGGGACGGGAGGGACGATATTGAACTTAGGCCCCCCGGGGTTTGGGGGATTTTTTTTTTTTTTTTTCCTTCTTCTACTGGCTATTACAGCACTCCGGGTATCACTTCCCCTCCTACTTGTATGTCTGCTCGTATATTTTTTTACCTTTTGGAGGCCCAAAAAAGAAAAAAATGACCAATTTGTGGGTCTCTTTTTGTAATTTGGACGAGGCCAGTCCGAAAATATTACGGAGTAAAAAAAAAATGAGATTGACAAGGAGCAAAATTCACACATTGCACTCGCTTTGTTTTTTTTTGCAGAGTTATTATATTTTAAAATTAGTGATAAATTTTATTTTTGATAACAACTTTTATAACAATATTAAAATATAAATTTATATTAAATTTAAAAACATTAAGTAATTAGAATTTTAATGTCTAACAATACTGGGTCTGAAAAGTTAGGAGTCCATATGCGGGTGCATATCTTGCACATCGTTCGAGCCACCCATGATTTGGACTCAATAAATAATACAGAGTATACCCAGGTAAATTTAACTTATAGAACCTCAACTTTTATCAATTTTTTGTTTTGGTAACTAAATTTCATTTGCTTTCATAAAAATATCTATACTTAAAAAACTTTTCACGAATGATATCTGAAGTCCATTTTTAGGTAACTAGCACGTCTTTGGGGGTTGAATTATAATTTTATATATTTTAAACTATTCAACTTGACTCTCACTTGTTTTTCTTTTTCTCTCTTCACCCACTCCCTTCTTTTTTTCTTCTTTCACTCCTTTTCATCATCTTCTTCCCTTTCAACCCTTTTATTTTTCATTTTTCTTCTTTCCTCAAAACATTTCATTCCACTTCTTTCGTTTAAATTAAAATTTTGAATTCATGAATTTCAAATAACAAGAGGATGTATATATAATTCTAATTGAGCTCTGTTCTGAATTAGAGAAAATTATCTAAAATCTAAATCTTAAATTTTAAGGTTCTCAAACTTTGAATTTGAGCCAAAAACAAATTTGAAATCCAAATTCAAATGTCCTAGCATGTCATAAATAAATTTGGTATCATTTGATTAAGGATTATTGTTGAAGTTTGAATGAAAATAATTTCTGACAGTTTATATTTTATTACTCTATAACTATTAATGAGAGTCAACGCTAAACATTATCATTTGTTAAATCATTTATTAACAATTCGGTATTTACTCATGGTTAACTTTATATTATTCTTTTGCGAGTGAAATTATAAAAATATGATTATAAGTACCCAGAGTATTAGTTTTTAGATGCCACTGGTAGCACTTGCAACTTCACAAAAAAAATTATATGTATCTCAAACATTTTCAAATAGTTCTTACTTAAATAAGATTTTGACATGTTAATTTCCAAATTTATATAGTACTCCCTCCGTCCCAGAGTATTCGTTCAGTTTTGACTTTTGGAACTGTTCATCTAAGCACTTTGACTCATCAAATTCTCTCAATGTGTAAGCCTAAATATAGTCATGTGTGATCTTGTTTGATTTGTCTTAACATATAGATTATTAATATATGATTTCTATAATTTTTTAATATACAAATTACAAGATAAAATGGACTAAAGAAGTGCATTGGATGGTGTGTAAAAATGAAAGTGGACAAATACTCTGGGACGGAGGTAGTAGATTTTTATTAGCAAATCTTATATGTTATATCATCTTTTTTATTTTTAATGTCTATGTTTTATTTTATTCGATTTTTGAATAGTGATATAATAAAGAAAATTTGTAGAATAAAAAAATATTTCGTTCCACCCCGTGCATTGCACGAGTTAAAATACTATACTAGTATATATGTAAAGTTAAGTTTATTTCTTGTGGTGTTGACATGTGGTATGCCTCATATATCCACATGTGCACCCATTAATGAGGTGTATGCATTCCATTTAGATTTTTTTTAAAACGATCTTTTAATACATTTGTATAAAACTTTTTCATTTTTGAACAATTCTATAAATATATATTTCATCATTGTAAAATATACTCTCTTTTTAGATTTATATATATAAAAGATTATTTTAATAATACTATCCACTACTTATTTTAGTTTATTACTTCTCAAAAAAGATTATATTAATTTAATCACATATGCATATTTATAAATAAATACTTTGTTTAAAAATATTTAGCCTATTACATTATTTATTTTATTGCTACATATATTTTTCAACAAAGTAAATAGAATAACGTTAGTTTAATTGAAGGAAGACAACTGACATTATGCCACATATACATTCTTTAATGATGTATCATTATTTAATTAATCCATTTTTCATTATAATATTTTATTAATTAAAATCATTTCATTAGTAATTCATTCAATGACCATTAGTTTTGTATAAAACTTTTTGTTTTTAAGTAAACATACCAATATATATTAATATTCTACTAGTTTAAAACATATTTTGTCACTATTAGAAAACTAGAATAACTAAAATCATATTTATAGAAAATCAAAAATTTAGAATGTATACGAGTTTGTATGAAGCACGAAGTTAATACTAGCAATAAGGTACCTCTATAGTAAAAATAGTCAAAAAGAAGAAGAGTACTATTATTCGTCTATTCAAAAGATGAGACTTGGAGGTTCTTTCTACAACATCGGGGGGCCTAATAATTAACAATTTTTGGAAAAAAGATGATCAAAACATAACACAAATGAAGATGACAGAGGATAGACGAAAAGCATCTCCAGAATTAGTTCTCACATATTTTAAGATCTTCGGAGTATATTTTTCAAAACGATTGGATCTGAAAGTTCTTACTCCCTCCGTTCCTAAATAGATTACAATTTTTTTCTCTCTCCTCTCGATAACTTTTGTTTGTTTACGCGATTTCATTAAGTATTTGATAAAATAAAATATTCTTGTCACCTCTTGTTTTGTAGAACTTTTGACATAGTTTTTTAATATGTAATTTTTATATCTTATTGATATACCAATTTGTAAATAAAATGATTTTAAAAATTAAGAAATTTTACTCCGTAAACCACAATTTGTAATCAAATTGGGGACGGAGGGAGTATCAAATAAATTGAAAATACCTATAATAAGATACATATGAGTACTGTTTCAAAAAAAAGGTACTCCATCCGTCCGAAAATATTTTTCCCGTGTTGACTTGACACGCTTATTAAAGAATAGTAAAAAAATGCAAAATTTTCAAAAATGCACATACTATAAACTTTTAAATCTCTTTTTCTTATTAAAAAAGTATTAAAAAAGTAGATTAGTGATAAAATAGAAGGGTATTATTGAAATTTATCTTTAAAAAGTATACTAAAAAAGAAAATGAGAAGAATATTTACAGACGGACGAAAAAAGAAAGTGGGAAGAATATTTTCGGACTAAAAAATCTGAAGAGACTACTCTAAAGAAATCACCCTTAATAGGACTAAAACATAGAGTTTATGCCCAAAATAGGACTTCTATGTTTTTATCCTCAAAATAGGACCAAACAATACAATTATACCCTTGTTGCCCTTGCCCTCTCTTCTGTGTTAACTGCCGCCCTCCATCTCCTTTCTCATTGTTTTGTTTTCGTCCCTCATTTTTTTTGTTTTTCCCTCTCTTCTTTTTTTGATTTCTTTGTGTTTTTTTCTTTCGTTCCTTTTTTTGTTTTTGTTTTTTTTGTTTTCTTTCTCTCTCCTTCCTCTTCTTTTGCATACAAAGGCCACCTTTTTTCTTCTCTTTTTCATTGTACATGTAGTTACTACGTAGTACTCCCTAATTATTAACTTCCTTTATACGTATTTATTTTTCCTTGTTTGACCCATTTATCTTTTTGTGTTTAATCACTTAATGCTTAAAGAAATAAAATATAGAGAAAGTGTTAAAATAGGAGTTCCATATTTTTATTCTCTAAATATATGTTCGCATTGTGGTAATATGACACTCTACATAGACATTTATTATAATGTACATGGTCATGCTTGCAAATGTAAATGTATTTTAATTCAAATTTTGTAAATAAAAACATGAAAAATTAAATTTTATTTTGTGATTTTTTCATTTTTTACTTTCACTTTAGAGAAAGTACAAACATCGCAGCTCCATTTTTTTTACTTTCAAAATAGAGTTTGTATTGTGGTAATGTGACATGTGGACATGTGGACATGTGGTTCAAGTACTTGTGGCCTTGTGGACATGTAGCGCGACCAGTGACGAAAAAATAGTTCTGTGTCACAAATGGCGAGGGGTATTTTGGGTATGTCGACGCAAATTAAGTCCTATTTGGGGGATTTTTCCACTACTCTATTCGTCTAGTCAGGTACGTACGTCTTTCTAACTGCCAATGCAATCAAGCGATAAATGACAAATAATCAAAACCCCAAACTATTCCTCTCCCCCAAGTAATAAACCCCCCAGCTGGCCGGTCGATCTATATAAACTGATGATCAGATCACATTCCCCACATCGAGATTAAATACTCAAACAACAATGGCTCTGCCGGCGATTAAATCTCTTTCTTTCTGGCTTCTGTTCATCATCTTGGCAAATTCTAATAACGCCTTCGTTTCAGCAAGAGAGATGCCAAACCCACACGATTTTCCGGCCGCCGGCGGCAGGCTGGAATCCGGCGGCTCTTCGCCCGGGTGCTGGGATGCTCTGTGGGAGATCAAGTCGTGCATGAACGAGATCGAGGCTTACTTCATCAACGGGACGATAGACATCGGCCCGCCGTGCTGCCAAGCCATCACCACCATCACCCGCCACTGCTGGCCCGCCGTGCTCGCCGGCGTCGGCGTCACACCGGAAGAATCCGACATTCTCAGAGGTTACTGCGACGCCGAATCCGCTGCTGCTGATGTTGTCGTTTCATTCCAGCCTCTTCCTAGTCCAGCTGTCGTTTTGAATTAGTTATATATGTCTGCGGTGACACGTCGTCGTCATATAGTTGTGAAGAACAAGAGAAACGTCGATCGGCTTATTATAGAGTTTTATGAATGAAATAAATTCGTTTCTCATTAGAGCATTTACAATGGCAAGACAAAAATGAAATGTCACACGGTGACATGGATTATTTCAACCAATAAAAAGTAATCCAGTCACCGTGTGACAAATGAGTGGAGTGTCGTAACATACAGTGGCAAGTCGTTGTTTTTGTTTATTTTTGCACCTTTTAATGATTTTTAATTATAAAAAAATATTTTAAAAATCTATTTTATTATTAAAATATGCTTCTTTTAAAAAAATATTTTTTTTCAAAAATTAAAAAAATTAAAAAAATTAAAAAAATAAAAAAATGAGAGAATCATGCCTTGCACATGGAATGAAAAGTGGGGTGGAATGGTCATGGAATGGCATGATTTCAGTGGAATTTGCTGACATGGCAAGGCAAGGTATTGCCTTGCCATTGTGAATGCTCTTATATATCCATCGAATCATTTACTCCAATTACTCGAAATTAGAAAATCAAATAAACTAAGGCTCCGTTTGGTATACGAAATTCAAACTATGGAATTGGAATTGAGGACTTCAATTCCAATTCTCATGTTTGGTAGCACAAAAATTATGTGGATTTGGAATTGGTAGTGCAAAAAATGAATTGGAATTGGTGAATTCAATTCTATATAATTGAATCCCATAAAATTTTAATTCCAATTCAATTCCAATTCCACTAATTCCGTGCACCAAACGGACCCTAAGGCTAACGTTTCTTTAATTTCATTGTCTTATGCTCCCTCCCTCCATAATTAAAATTCCCACTTTGATTCGGTGCGCAAATTTATGTGAAATGAAAAATGTGTTCACTTTTTCATTATGCCCCTCATCCTTTCGACCATGTGTCCATGTCCACCCCCACTGGCAACACCATCATCTACCACGGCCGACGCCAACACTTCCGCACCACCGCCACCGACGCGTCCGCACCACCTTGATGATGCTTTCGCAACCCCCCCACGAAAGCCCCCGCCATTGCAGCCCTCGACATCTTCTCGCGGTCGTAGACCTGCATCCCTTGCTATCGCAACCCCCTTCATCACAAAGATATGATCTGTTTTGAGACTTCTTGTTGAAGAAAATCAACATCCCACCACAGATGGAAAAAATTAAAAAAATTTGTCACTCGAAATCTAGATCCGACGAAGATGCAACCCACAGATCTGAAAAAATATTTATTCTTCTAGTTGACGAAGGAAGAAGGAAGAAGAAACAGAAAAAAATGAAGAAGAAAGAAGAAGAAGAAGACGGAAGAAGAAAGCTGAAACAAGAAGACGGAAGAAGAAAGCAGAAGAAGAAGAAGAAGAAGAAGAAGAAGAAGAAGAAGAAGAAGAAGAAGAAGGAAGAAGAAAGAAAAAAAATAAAGAAAGAAGAAGATGATGGAAGAAGAAAGAAGAAGAAGAAGGAAGAAGAAAAAGAATGAAGAAGAAGGAGAAAAAGAAGAAAAAGAAGAAGAAGAAGGAAGAAGAACAAGAATGAAGAAGAAGGAGAAAAAGAAGAAAAAGAAAGAAAGAAAAAACCGAAGATGAGAAAAACGGTAGAAGAAGAGAAAAAGGAAGAAAGAAGAAAGGGAGAGGAAGAAGAGGATAAGGGTAGAAATGACATTTCATTTACAAAAACTTTCATAAAATAGAAACGAGAAGTTTTTTGTGGACAGACGAAAAAGGAAAGTGAAAAGTTTAATTGTGGACGGAGGAAGTACATCAAAATAAAAGATAAATGTATAAGAAACTGCCGTTGTTAGCTTTTTTTAATAACAAATTTAACAAAGTGCAATAGATTTTTTTTTCCGAGAGTTAGAATTCGAATAGATAATTATTATGGAAAAACATAGATTTTTTAAATATTACAATTGAGCTAAGATATGAACTTTTTTTTTGAATACTAATAACTCTATTACATATATTATACTACATAGTAGTATGTGCAGTGCGCATATTTTGGGAGGGCACAAAAATAGAGTACAATAACATTAAAGAGGATGCCTAATTTGACAACAATCAATTGCAAACTCAATTGCTATACCAGTTCAATTAAGAGATATGCGGTGGCCGTTCATAAAACTTACAGCTACAATTTCACGAAGCACCCTAGAAATCTAATGGAACTGGTGGCACGATTTGACATCATTTGGAGTGGTGTTAAATTAGACTTGCTCAATATTAAATAACTAAAAAATTTACTCAAAAAAATGACCAAAAAAATATATTCTAAAATGAATCTATTTATATTGAATTTATATATATTATAATTAAATATACTTTTCTCAAAGTTTATGGTCAAAGAATGTCAGTATTTGACCACAACAAAAAAGGTTTTTAGAAATCGTGAGTATATAATGTCATAACTATTTTCTATTCTTGTAATTTTAATTTTTTCTTTTCAGATTTTATTATTGCATTTATAAGTGTTTCATTATTGTAATTATGTAAAATTTATGTTTCTTTTGCAATTTTTTATAACTTAAACAATATTGGATTCTTTCAACCTCAACTTTGCAAGATGCTATGTGACGAAGCCCAACCCAGGAGGAAACTAGTGGTCATTTTAAAAGTGTAAGTCAAAACGAGGGTAAATTTCACAAATGGTACCTGAACTTTAGCTGGAATTTCGAAGTGGTACCTGAACTTCAAATCCTTTCACAAAAATCCCTGAACTTACACAATCCTTTCACTAATGAGCCATTAGCCCGTTTCTAGGTTAACTTCCGATCATTAGGGCCAAATTTGAATTTTATATATTTTAAAATTTTCAATTTGACCTCATTTCTTCTTTTCTTTTCTTCCACGCCCCGCCGCCGCCCGCCGGTCAAAGTCGCCGGAAAATGAACTTTTTCCGATTCCGGCGGGACCAATGTCATTCTCTTCGTCTTGAGACGAGGATCAATAATATCCAAACCATTTTGTCTAATTTGGCCTGTAACTTCTC